GTAACCTCAAACTCACTCTAAAGAATGTTAGTGCCTCTGTATGGGCATTTAACGAAAGACATTTACAGTTCTGTAAGCACCAGTGAAGACACCAGCTGAACAGGGACTTTCTACTCACTTTTTTTTGATAGCTTATTTCTTATACTCGTAAAGATGTAGCACCTAACCGTTGTTTGTGCTATGCTGGAGTCTATTAACGTTATATTAATATTTTGTTTTAAACAGAATTCCTTAGTTCAGAGTATATGATATCTATGAAGTCCAATTCTCTTTCTAGCAATCTTTGAAAGTATGACACTGTGCTGGGGAAGGTTAAACATGTTTTTCTGGAACTGTTTCCTAGTCCAACAAAGTTACACAGCTTATTATGTTGTTCCCATCCCAGGATAATTATGCAGAACATTCTGCAGTGGGTTTGGTTTGGTTTTGGGGTGTTTTGGGTTGGGTTTGATTTTTTTCTTTTGCATCGTTGCTTTTTGTTTGAGAGAGACTGATGTGTGTATACAAAATTTCTTCTGGCTGTTTGCAAAAGAGACATATATCCCACATGCAGGACCACTGGCTTGTAAACAGGCACTAAATAATTAGACTGCAGAAAGCAGTTTTTAAGTTTTCAAAGAATACTAGCTGCACTACCACTCACTGAATGCTATAAAAATAACATGATATCTATCTAGGATTATTTTTTTAAAAAAGAATTTGTAGCATAGTAATGTATGTAAGCTATATTATTTTGATCCCAGGCAGGAATGTCTTACCCTTTTTGTAAGCTATGTTGGAAGTTTGGGGGACAGATTCTTCTTGATCAGTTGAAACACTATACAAAGAGTGCTGCAGTTTTGTACAGGGAGAAAGTGAGGTGAAGGACGTGTGGAAGGAGAGGTGTCTTCCAGCCTTTCCATTTTCAAGCTTTCTGTCTAAGCAAAGCAGGATCCCTAGGCTGAAAGTCAGAGAAGCATAATTTTGGTTACAGGGCAGTGGCTGAAGCAGGGCTTTACAGGAGTAGCAGGTTCTGCTGCGGTTCCAGACATTTTGCCAGGCAGAGGTGGATTACAGAGCCTCTGCAAGGAAAAGCCCAGCCACATACACTCACCCAAACTGGGACTCCTCCTGGTGCTTTTGTGGAATGAAAAGTTTGCAAGAGGCTGGGGTGGGCTGCTAACTTCCCAGAGTTGTTCTGATCTTCACTGAGTCTTTCCAAAGAGAAATTCAGGAAGGAACAAATGCCTGCATGTTCAGCCCAAAGCTCCATACCCTAGAAGGAGAGTGCTTTCTCCTCTATCAGAAAATCAACATTTCTCAGAAGTCAGTGCTTTGCTCAGAAGTCCCATTAAACGTGAGGTTGCCTATCCCACAGGCCTGTGGTTCAGCTACCCTGATGTTGATGGTGATTTAAGTCTACTCAGGGGGAACTCAGTAACCACACTGTCATACCTCCTGGAAAACAAAGAACATATACATCTTTTGCATCCCACGGGCACAGAACAAACCTGCGTCCCCTTCAGAGCTGGGGGATCTTCTGAGCCTGTCTGCTTTGTGCCAGAGAGCCAGTGGGGAATGAGGAGCTGGACGAGAACTCCCTGTAGGTTTTATAGCTACACAGCCATTATTTCACAGGTTGAAGCCAAAACACACTTACCTTTCAGCATGTAGTTTTCCTTTTAAATATACTGAAATTTCTGTTGTGTTCCAAAACAAGGCACAGTTCAGTAAGTCTCCACAACTGAGCAGGATCTAAAGCTTCCTATTTCCGTCAGTTAAAGGCTCTGGCAGTACATGTGTTGCATGTTTTCTTGCTTCCGTTTACATTAAACCCTCCATTCACAGCAATCTTCCTATATGTTTACTCCCAGCTTCACTTTACCTCTTCCAGTATTGCCTAATCAAGGTGCAAATTGCACTGCACATTGAAAAGATTTTCTGTCCCACTTAATCCTTTGTGACTCCAATCTCTGACACTTTGTACATGCCTGTTTGTAGGAAAGTGTTTCCTGTTCTTCACAATACCTGACTATTTCCCTGACAGAGCTGATAAAAAACAATAGACTAAAAAAAAAAGAAATCAGATCTGGTTGATCGTGTTAACTGCAATGCAAAGAATAATACTTGGAAAATAAAGAATACTTGCAATACTTAGAAAATTAAGTCCTAGGATATTTCATGTACAGAACAGAAAAAAAATTTCTACAAAGATTAACCTACAATTGCACATGTTGTCTTTCTGTAACTGCACTACCCATAAGCATCTAGTTGTCTCAACTATATGCATGCGTATCCAATTAATCCTTACGTTTACATTTATTCACCTCTGACTTTTTATGCATATATTCACCTCCAAAAGACCAAAAAATTCATCTGATAAATGCAGAATTTTGCACTGGAATTATATGCACAAATATGTATAATACTTAATATGCTTATTGCAGCTGTACATGTGATTTGTGTATGCATGCAAAGATTATGTAAGACGTCTCTTCAGGTTTCTTCAGCAACCACAGCAATTACATTGTATGAGAAAAGGGCTACAAATTATTTTAGTATGCCTGTCCCATCCTTGGAAATTCCCAGTTCTTACGTATTAGTGAAATTGGGAGTTCTGAAAAGGGATATTTATGGCGTTCTTGCACATGAGGGAGAGGAGAAAAGACAGGTTGAATTGAAAGGGGGAAAACGCCTGTTGATTATTCTGTTCTATCTGCAAGCAGACAAAGCCAAAATTATTCTCTCTTTGATAGTTTTCCTATGAGCAAATGTTATTTTGATTATTTTTCAGACATTATGCCACTTCAATTTACTGAATCATTTTTCTCATGAGAGTTTAATTTTAAAATGGTTGACACATTCTAACAGGCTAAATACAACTCGGAGCACTGACATTAGTCAAAATACTTGTTTTTATTAAAATTTCTTTAAAACAGACAAAGGGGGCATAGTACCTGCTAACAGACTGAAAGACCTACCTTCAGCATCCTTCAGTTGACATTAGTCTGATGATTTTAGTGAGTTAAACCTGATGGCACCTCTTAGCGCCAATAAATCTAACAATTCTTGCTGGTCCCTAAAGAGCAGCTACTTGGAAGGTCAAGATGAGAGCAGCATGACAGAGGCTCAATGGCAGAAATAGAGAATGTGCCTTTCCTCCCCTCTTCAATTTACAAACCAAATGAAAGCAGTGTGGCAACGGGATTCTGGGAGCTCTTGATACGAGAGGAAAACCCTGGCCTCCTCCATCAGAGAGAAAGTACCTTTTCTTACTACCTAGTTCCTTCCACTTTCAAATTAATGTTCCTTTGTATCACCCAGAACAACGACATTCTTTAGTAGAACAAAGGTTTGGAAGGAAGACTTAATATGTAAGTTAGTGTTTCTATAAAGGTCAATATATCAGCTATTTTAGCTGCAAGTAACAGACATTCACAGACAAGATAAAACAGCAATTTTCAAGGTGTGGTCAATAGATTCCTAGGAGCACTTCGTTACACTGCACTACAGGCAGCACTTAAAACTTTTGTATGAAGAACAGCTGCACGCCCCATACCTGTTCCTGTCTGCAGCTTTTAAATCATGTTTTTGAAACCCCACTTTTTTTTCCCCTAGTTATTACCTTGCAACCAATTGCTGTGGTAACATTACAAATGATACATAATACAGAAAAGGTCCGTGGCAAGGCCTTCAACCATTTAAGATCCCCTCCCACAAAGATAAATATGACATCTTCCAGCTGGATTACTGCCCTGGGCAGAAAGTTGAGCAGTTATGGAAAGGATTAAGTTCAAACAGTAGCGTTGCTAAGGAATACTTGTACATCACGAAATAAGACAAAACATGAAGAGTAAGAGTTAGATTTAATGATTAATTAAATTATTACTGAACCCAGCTCTTACACTTCTTTTCTTTCTCATAATTAAGGAAAACATCGGCTTTAGGTAAGTGGTAGTATATTTAAACAAAATATATGCATTGCACAAGGATAAAATCAACACTGAAATTGCAAAGATTTTCATTTCACGTAAGAAATTAAAATGATGCATTGGTGGAAAAGTGTAAATGGGAATATTTTAGTAGTCAAAATAAATATTTAATAAAAACCACACACCCATGACAAAGCATCAAAACAACAGAACTTAGTATTTGGAAGGATATCATCTACATTTCCTTGTGTTAAACATTGCTAAATTCAGTGGCTTAATTATTACACTGTCTTCAGCAATCATTGTTTGTATTACTGTTGTAAACAGTCATGAGAATAGAAATACTGTTCCAATGACAGAAATAGTAAAGCCAGTTTGCAATAAACAAGGAAGAATTCACTACACCAAGGAGCCATCGATAGAAAGTCAACAAGGATGACTGCATAGCATACTGGTTGCTGTACCGAAAGGGCATTTATCAGCATTCAGTGAACTGGGGTAAATGTGAGAAAACCACCCTTTTTAATATAATTTTTAAAAACAACCAGATCATTGACAGTTGAAGAAAAAACCCACACATTTCTTTAAAAGTAAAAGCATAGTCTAAAGATCTTAAGAGCACCATAAGATTTCTACCAGGTAAAACAGTACAAACCATTAGCATTGTAAGTAAAGAACAATTAAAAGGTTATTATATCATTCCATATTTAGAACACAACTGAAAATTTTAGTGTTGTTGCATCCTCCTATACTACAACCAGTGGCATTTTGATGACTTTTTGTTAAGTTCTGGAAACAAATAACGCAAAGAAAAACACTTTTTCATGTATAGCAGAGGTCTAGAAAGACTTAAACTGATGATTTGTAAACTGGAATGTAGATAATGTTAATACAAACAGATTTATATGGGGGAAAGCAGCAGTGTCTGGCTTATCCCATTAATTCTCCATTCAGATCTTTCACTGATTCTTTGAAAGTAGCGTTACTGAATATCCCTGACTACCAAAGATTTTTATGACTGCTATTTTCTCACTATTAGGATTCTGCATTTAAGATTATTCTCCACCCTTTATCCTTCCATTCCCACCCATCCCCCACATCACATTTAAAAGTTGCAGTCTTCTCACACAAAGCATTGTAATGCCTTCTGCTGCTTGCTAAGTAATATGCAGTCAAAATTATTTCTATTTTCAAATCACTGAGACCACTTTCCAGTTGGATCATGTATTAAACAATAATTAAAAATAGTATTCTCCCCTTATTCTATTGTGACATGGTAAAGACTATTCACCATTTAATATACGTTCAATCTCTTCTAGTCTTTTCAAAGCAGCAACTCTCTTTTTCTCAATGTCTTTGATTTCTTTTGTAGATTTTTTGGGAGTGTCTTTGTCCATATTGTTTTTCTCTGTTCGTTTCTTATTTTCTGAGTACCCTTTATTGTTATCAACTGTTGTTTGGGTGGTTTTCTGCTCATTTTTTACTTCTTTCAAATTTTGAAATGAATTTTGTTTTTCTGCAGCTGCAGTCCCATCTGCTGGAAGTGATGACTGTTCCGTAGTACTGAGTGATGCAATTTTACTTCTAACTATGTTTAGATGACGCTGAATATACTCTTCATGAGGTGCCAGTGCTAGTGTTTCAACCAAACATTTTTCTGCTTTTATTAAGTCTCGTTCTTCAAAGTAAACCACACAAAGATTATGTTTTCCTTGTACATTGTTGGGATCCAGTTCCAAAATTTTTTCAAAACACATTTTTGCTCCAACAATATCCTTCTTTTGGTTCATAAGGATATCTCCTTTCAAAATCAGACCTTTGGTATGATCAGGGTAGTATCTCAGTAGGTCTTCCAGGACGGGCAAAGCCATCAATTCTTTTCCTGTCTGAGAATAAAGCAGCGCCAAATTGAACAAAGCACTTCGGAAGTTTGGCTGTAACCTTATGGCTTTCTTCATCCATGCCTCTGCTTCCGTATCTTTTTTGTCATCCATTGCCAGCATACCCAAATTGAAGTACCCATTTGCATCCTGTGGTTCTTCTTTCACATAATGTAACAGTCTTTGTTTAGCTTCAGGTCTAAGCCTAGCATCACCTAAATGACAGAAAACGCATTTAATTCCAGATTCATTCTGATGGATTTTTAGACCAGGCCTGTAAAATGCTAATTTTTATACAAATTAAAATGTAATTTCTTTAACACAACTGTTCAAAGGGAAAGGGTTTAAAATGCTAGTTTTTATCATTGCTGTGTAACAGCAAAAGTAAATCACATGTACCTTCTTTATAGAATGAAACTACTTACAATTGACTTGTAGCCAAAGTCAGCATCATTACTCTATTATCTGTTGAATAATATTTAGGTTTGGTATAATAGATACAAAAGGTGTCTCTACAAGTTTAAGAGAAGTTATTTTCATGTATGGTTGAGTAATCGGAATGCAGAGATGATGTCAGTTCTGACAAACCAGCTCGTACAGAGGCGAACTTGCAGTGGAAGATCTCATTTTGTTAAAGACAGATTGAAAGAGTTTAAAGACAGAAATCACATAAGGTGACTTCAGTGTAGCCAGGCTAAAATATCTTCTAACACCCAAACAATAACATCTATAACTCCCATATTTTAATTTGCATCAAAGTTTGACAAAGATATAGTAGAATTCTCTTATCTGACAATACAGTGATTAGCTAGACTAGCATGTAGTCTGTACTATTTTTCTGAATACTCCCGTGAACATATTTTAGTAAGGAATACAAAGCACAGACTTACTGAAGGATGGGGGAGCAGGGAGCTGATTTTAGCCGCTTTCTTTCACCTCCTGAAACAGTGCTGCACCTTCCAGTATGAATAATTGAATACTAGATAGCTAATGCTTTTGCTTCTTTGAAGCCCCTTGTGCTTCTATAGACAATAAACACGGCATTTCTTGTACTACCTAACTTACTATGTGAGAAGAGATGGAGAATAATCCATTTGCATCAGCTCCAATCAACTCTGTATTATCTCTTTCTTAGGGGTAGTTTACTATCCCAACAAAAGGGAAACAAACCTTACAGTCACTTGCCAAATACTCTTTGCAACAGCCTGAATTCACAAAAGGCTTATACTTACCCATACAGCTAGAAGCTACACATACGAAAAAAACAAACTCATGAAAATCCAACTTCATTCATACTAATTAGCAGTATTATAGAGGAACCTATGAAAAACATTCACATTTCCTAGGGATAGATTTAAAGCCGACAGAAGTTAGCTGTATTTTTTTAGTCAATGAAGAATGAAAGCAATCAATATAAATGCAAAACATAGATATCACACATATTTTACTAAAGATGATTTTTTTTAAGATTATATAGGCACAATTTTGAAGATGTTTGTGTAACACTTTATATATATAAGATATTATATTGTAAAACAGCACTTGTATTGTACACTTTGCACAAATTCCATACACTACCAATAAATTACAGAGCTGACTATTACAATAAACAGTTTCTTCTTTGATGATGCTATGAACTTCTGCCTTCCAAAAATAAAAGTTAATTAAAAAAAATTTAAATAGCATGGATCCTATAAATGCAAATATACAATATTTATATAAGGGATGACTAACATACCAGATTCCTGCATTAGCAGCGCTGAGTTGAATAATGCCAGTTTATGTGTTGGGTTGAGTTCTAGCGCTCGGTTGAAATTCTTCAGGGCTTCTGTTGGATCTTTCAGTTCAATGTAAACAATTGCCAAGTTGTACCACAGGTCAGCATTGGTTCTGTCTAGTTCTAGAGCTCTAAGATAAGCTTCCTTAGCTTTCAGAGGTTTGTTCATTTTTAAAAGTAATTCTCCCCTGTTGAAGAATCAGATTTAACTTTCAACTTTTATTCATACTAATATGAGAATAATTGACAGGTTTTTTAAAAGTTTGCCTTCCTATAGAGAGTAGATGTGAGATAACAGCATTTTTTCTTTTTTGTTTGTTTGTTTGAAACACAAAACTGTACAGGACCTTCTTTACATTCCTTTCCCAAAGCTTTCAGCTCTCAAAAGTCTGTATACTACAAATGCATATGCAGGACAAAAAACAGAAAAGTAGTGATCAAGGGTTCCTGATATTGGCTCTATAATTACACTGCAACAGCTATAGTTCAGCCATCTTTGCACCTGCTTAAGTCCCAATGGGAGTCACAACTAACAAAATAGTGAACAGAAGCGTCAGTACCCACAGCAACATTACTCTTGCCTATTTAGCTGACATTTATGTGCTTTTTAGTTAAGTCTTGCATCTTCTGGACCACCTTTAACTATGTCTGAATACACAGTCTATGTGGAAACACACCATTTGAAGCAGGAATTTAAAAGAATAGGGCTTTTAATGAATAATTGATTATTGCCCCAAATCTTCATCTTCTCATTTGGAAATGGATCAATTCCAGCAGCTAATTCAACTATATGAACTAAATACTGTTCATAGCACTGCAAATACATAAATGTTTATTCAAGAACATGTCTCTCTAAAATTAGAAAAGATACCTGCTGATGTAAGCCTGCTTGAAATCTGGCCTCATACTAATTGCTTGTCGATATAATTGATCCGCTTCTTCAAGGCGAGATTCATTCGCTCGAATTAAGTTTGCAAGATTGATATAAACATTGAGATGGTTAGGAGCAACTCTTGCTGCATACTTTTTACCTGGAATAATCTGTCAAAAAGAATGTATGTACCAAACACAGATGAGTAAAAATATGAAAAAAAATCAGTATAGGTCTCCTCTTTCCTCTGCCACATTTGTTTTAGGGTACTACTGGACATTAGTGTGCAGGCTCTTAGTGATTACAAATAGCAATTCTTCTTTCCCAGAAATTATACCAAAATATAAACAGAATTTTTTTCTTCTTTAATTCTATGAAGACATAGATGACTTTAATATCATATTTAAGATATTCATTAATTAAGCTCTGCTACTACCTAATTGGGCTCAAGCAGATAGCCATTAGAAACCAACCAGACCTTGCAAAATTTTCCCTACTCAGACAAAGAATATTTCCTAAAGCCTAAACTGACATTCTACTAGAAATTTTCATTTCTTTTTTTAACCTTCCAGCCTAAGGTAAGTGTAAATAGGATTTTACCAGCCACTGATATAGCAGATGAAAAGTAGTCATGAAAAATGAAAATGCTACGACATTGCAACTGTTGTACTGTTTATACTTGAGAATTCCGTCTAGAATCTTCATACTGTTTCACAATACAAACCTTTTAATGCCATACTTCTACTCAAAGGACTGCTGATTTTTGCTGTCAGTCTCATTTTACCCACAGCTTTTGTTACCTTCATATGTTCTCCAAAATATTCCTCTTTTTTTCTCCTAAAGAGCTAGAATAAGTAATATTTGCTAGGTATAAATATAGCTTAACAAATGATAAAGGCAACAAAGCACATGTTTTTAAAATTATGTTCAGGCAAAGACTTTTTTATTTCTGCTGCGGCTACCTTCTCCCACCTTCAATGCTACATTTAAGCCTTCTCTTGAGGGCTCAGTAACTCAGTCATCATCAATGTATTAGCTGTAAGTGAAAATAAACTCACTGTGACCAGAAACTGTAGGTGTACATTTGTAACCGGTGCTTTCTTTTCTATCCTCAATTTCAGGAAAAAAAAAAACAACCAAAAACCAAACCCACAGCAGTATAAAAAGTACCTTAAAATAGTTTTAACAAAGAAGTTTCAAGTTAGCATTTACCAGCCATGATTGTATACAACCTACTCTTTTAACAGATAGGTTTTTAAAAAAAAAACTAACAACTTTAAAGTATACAGCAACACAAAGCTTCAGGAAAAATATGGAAAACTTATCATGACTATAGGTTTGAAAGAGTTCCCTCCTGTGGTGGTAGATAAAATAAAGTTACTAATTACCTGTGGCATCAATGATTTAGCAATCATATATGATTCTTCAGCTTCTTTAGTTTTGTTTAAGTTTTTGTAAGTTCTTCCTACATTCATGTGGGCACCAATATCATCTTAATAAAGAAAAGAATTAAATTTCAAATACTTTCATGCACTGAGTATCATGAAAATAAACACCTATGCCTTCAGAGTAGCGTGAAGTATAGGTACTGCACAAAGACCAACAACAACAACAACAAAAAAAGGAATTCTATATTATTTTTCACCTTAATCATGAAGCTAATAATTTAACCATGAACCAAAGATGAATTATAAAGTTACTTGGGAAATGGTAAAAAATTTGAGGTCATACTCCCACGTATGTGTCTTTCATCTATTGCTACAGTAAAGACACATAAATTGAAAGTTATCTGTTAGGCTTTTAAAAGGAAAAAGGAAAGGTTGTCCAGTACTACCTAGAACTTCTTTTGCAACAATATGTAAAATGGAGTAAATGTGCACTTTGATACTATCTTGATTTTTTAATTGTTTTATACACCTCCTTAGTTTTAAATAAGAAAGTTAAACAATAATTATGTTTCATAAGAAACTACAGTTTAAGTTAATTCAGAAAAGAGTATCATCCAAATAATGGTTTTAAATTGAAAGTCTTTGCATCTTTTTATAGATAGAAATTTTTCTGGAGGACTTTTTTTCTGAAAACTATAGATCAATTAACTTAGTTTATGACAACGTTTGATGTTCAGTTGGAGAAAAACAGATCATTGAGAAGATTTTGTTAAGTAAGCTAAGCATACTGAAATACTAGGAGTGTGGAGACACCATTCAATGGCAACTAGTCAAAGCTTTTACCTGGTTGCACTTGAGTGGCTTGTATGAAGAACTGCAGAGCTCTTTCAAAATTCTTTTCATTTTCTAACGCATGCCCCACGTTGTTCCATAGTTTTGCATTGTTCTTATTTACCTAAAAACAGAAAAAAAGATACCAATGCATAAGGTATTAAGTTGAAATTATTACATAACAACTGATTTTCTTTTAACTGTGTCTTAAAAATGTAAAAATGCATAGCAAATGACAGATTTCATCAAGCTGCTACATATGAAGAGTAACAAAACGCTACGTACAGAATGATTACATTGAACTTGTTGCTCAACATCTATTTATTCTAGTTATTTTCCCCTAGAAATACCAAACGTTTTAAAATTAATTATAATTGTTATGGGATGTTGTACAAACTATCCTATCATGCCATATGCACATTGAAGAAATTATTCTACGCATCAAACTTTTTGTAGACTTTTATATTGAAACATCACGCTTTCATCCAGATAAGAGAATACGTTTAACTGCTTTAACACAAGAAAAAAAATATCATGTTTCTTGCACATGAATTCCTATGTGTGCATCACACTGCTTTTAAAGTATTCCCAAAAGCAACTAATTAGATGTTAATACTGTCAACGTAGAAATAAAAGTGGCAAAATAAGCATTGTTTCTCTACATTTTTATCATGCTCTACTGCAGCTTTCTGAGAACAGCAACACAAACTTTCCATTATCCTTTTCAAATAGAATACAGTACCTTTAAAGCTGACATAAACAATGTGTATTCTGACTCCCAGTCCCAGTTTCTGTGCAGTGTTTTTAAGGCATGAGTGAACAGTACCGCAGCCAAACCAACCCAAGAGATTTTTCTTAGCACACTATTAAATAAAACAAAGATTTGTTAAAGCAAACAAACAATTCTAATTTATACTAGAATAAGTATCTCATATGCTAGGAGCAAATAAACTGAGGATCATAATTGTGAATAGTATATTCCAATTTATTTGCCTCATCACCAAATGGCACGTCAAAATTTGAAAAGAAATAATAACAAAATTAACTTGAAATTGGACATTTACCTCATTTTTTGTTATCGCTATGTAATTCACTTAATAAGAACAAATGCAATCCACATAATATAAACAAAAAAATATATGAAAACTATACTTCTGTTAGAGCTTATCTGTAATTTAAGGCAATGAACATGATCATGATGTCAAACAAGTTCTTCAAAACACTGTACAAAATGTTAAAAAATGAAGAAGGCAAGTAAAACATCATCCCATCCTTTTGTTTCATATCAGACATTTCCACACAAATATTTTACTGCACACATCACTAATCTTTCCCATACTGTAGAACACATCTTAATAGAGAGGTCTGCTGTGGAGACTACTCAATCTTCCATAAGCAAATAAAATCCTAGTGCTACTGTAATATCTAAATAGGAGTAAAGTTTTGTGTCTTTGTAGCCATTTTATTTTTAAAGCTGCCAACTGGGGCAGAAGTCACTCTCTATGACAAGCCTGTCAGGAACAATCTTCTAGATTTCATGCAGTTTATTTTTCTGGAGTTTAAACACAACTGACTTTAACCACAACAGATATAAAACATACGCTTTAACACGCTGGTCATTTGGTCTCTGAATTCTAATTTAATTATGAAAAAACACGTTAAACACCCAGTTGCCTTCCTACAATTATGGATATCATTTAGTTTTAAAAATCTCATTCTTGAGCAGACATACGGCTGTTCACCATTGCCAGCTATTTCTTATACTGGATTTATGGAACAGCTGTTCACACCACTATGTACTTCACAGGAGTCTGCTAAAAACTGAAAGTTTTTTTTTTCCCCCTCCATTTTTAAGATATACAAAATGCTGTGCAAACTTAAACTATTGTGCTTGGTTTTAAAAAAATATTAAAAAATAGAAAGTAGAATTTCTCTTTTAATTCTGCTGTTCTAAAACATTAGCAAAGCAACCAGTGAGAACTGGCATATACAGTAATCTATATCCTCACCAGCCTCATGAGAAAGTTTCTTCTTTCCATACATTTCTAAAGCAAGGAGCCTTCTCTCTCTCCTAAGACTTTTTAGAGTGCTGATTCCCAATATTTTTGTAGTAAATGACACTGCTGCCTAATTTTTCTCCCCAGCCATCCTTTCCCGGTTCCTTGCTTTCTTTCACATCGCTTCTATTTTTACTGCCTCGTAGTGGGATTTGTGAGAATACTTTCTCCTCACTCCCACAAAGTATCACTAATTTCTCATTATCCAATGCTGTCAGCTTTGGCAGCACCAGTTTGCATAAATTATACTGCAAGGCCTCACCTCTAATGATAGCAGACATCATAGACTGGGAATTGCTGCCTTTCCATTTGTCTGAACTAGCATTAGGATGCCATTGGGGTAACAAGGGTCAGAGGAAGGCATATGCAAATCAATGGAGAAGACAGCAGAAAAAAGAAAGGTGCGTGCAAAACGTGCTTTTAGAGCAGAATTTACTAAGGAGAAATTGTTACCAAAAAAATTCTTTAGTTTAACAAATACTGAATGGCTCTGATGTCCATTCCTAGCATGGCATGTCTGAAAATGTAACCAGTAAAAGATACTTTAATATGCTGCAGACTAATATACATGCATTATATAAACTTCAGTCAGTAATCACTTTTGAATAAAGTACAAATCAAATCTGGCCAAGAATTTTTTTTGCCAAATCCTTAAAAACATCTAGGATTTAAACAGGAAATACTTGTGTTTCTTTGCAGAAAAGAGATGGGTGATACTACTAGGCTCCTAGGTAAAGTCCATTTTGTAGCAACATGTAATGTAAGTTACACCACATTCTAAAAAATATTTGGTGCAGTCTCAGGCTTTTTTTATATATATATGTATGCTTATATATATATTAAAAAAATTAAAAATATATATGTGTATACGTGTGTGCATATATATATGTATATATATTTTAAATAAACATTATAATACCATCAGAATAATCCACTAGTCTCCTAAGAAATTCCGTGTTGTCATGTGTTCACATGACTGCCAAATGGTTTCTTAGTCATTATTCTGTGTTCATTAAGAACTTGAAACAGAATAAGGGCTATAATGTAAAAAATTCATACTGGTAAAAGCTCTACTGGTAAAGCTTGCAGTTATAAATATGGTTACCTTTTATGAAATTAAGAGAGATGAGTTAAACCAGTCACAGGTAACACTACCTTACCTTTTATTTGACAATTTCTTCCATCCATGCGCTACTAAAATGCAGAATCCCATGCTGGGAACATACAACACTCGTTCTGCTACTACGAACCCAACAGGAAAAAAGAGGTTTGATGCAGGAATGAATGGTAGCACTATTAAGCAGAGTGCCTAGAAAAGAGATGCAAATGAATTAGCAATCAAGATTAGGCAGGAACAAACTGTACCCAAGAAACAAATTACGAAGCAATTACAAAAAAAAAAAAATCCCAGAAAAACAGACATACATAGTAAATCTTTGGGTTTTTGGTTTATTCTTTTAAACATAAAGATCTGTTTTACATTGAGGCCACTCTGAACATGGCAAGTTTTAACCTGCAAACGACACTATTCCTTCCTTAAGGGCCTATAAGTGTATTTGTTTTTCTATATTACAGAAAAGAGCAGCTGTATGAAAAAACACTAGGATCAAAGGATGAAATTCAAAACAATGTTTTAACAGGAGTTCCACACACAAAAACATGACAGTCTGAGAACCTTGGACGTTATCTTTTATAACAATTAAAAATTTATACCAGCTTATATGATGCATAAAGCAGTTATTTTTACAATAAAGTCCATTTTTAGTTTCTGTAAAAAATATGAAGAAATAACATAAAAATCAGAATCAAACACTGAATAAACATCAGTGTTTAGAGAACGCACTAAGGGCACCCTGCAATTTCTAACATGACAATGAACTTAACTGTGTAATTGCAGCTCTTAGGTTGGTGACAGACATCTTAACAAAAGGTGTGTTTATTAAAAGACAAAGAAATCCATCTGCTGCAAAGGAAGTGGACATGACCATTTGCTTTAAGTCCTGGGTGATTGTTAAATAGCAGCTTTACAATCTCTGGTACTAGAACAGACTCAAATAATTATTTCAAAATATCTGACCTCCAAGTTACAAAACCCAAAATCCCTAGAGAAATGGAATGTTTCTTTGAATAAAGAAAGTAAGAGGAATTTTCTAGAAGCTTTCAGTACAACTGGCTGTCACCTTCTGTCTGGATTTAAGCGTAACTTTAACTGTCTTTTCCATGCTAAAACAGTTAACACATCCAGTTTGAAAGTCAGTGTAGGATTTCCCATATAAAAAGGCAACACTGATTTAAGACTTCATGTAAGGTTTTAGCTCATATTTCAAGGGGCCAAGAATATGCACATGGACCATTAACACAGCTCAGGTGATCCACAGCAATTCATTAAGCTACATGAAAATAAATACGTAACTGAGCTGTGAAGAAATCACAAGCACAATATAGAGAATATATTGATTACTTGGGGATAAAATTTAATTTAATGCCATTTCACATTCCTCTCCCTTTCTCCTTTACATTTTTATAGTACATGCTCCTTATAGAGCACTTCCCAATCTGTAAAAGTAAAACCCTCAACACAGAACTCTGTAATAGGTTTTTGTAATCCACTTTGAAATGCAGGATTCATCACACTAGCCCCAAGCCAGTCCTCTGTATCAGTTTTTAATTTAGTTATAGCAAATGCCTTCACACTTCTGGGGGTGGATTATGGGAAGTGAGGATATCATTCTGTATTTCATTCTGTTTTGAACAGTCAAATGCATTGGTGAGTACAAAAGCATGTTTGAAGTGTGCTTTAGCAAACAATGTGCTGTTTTATAAATGTTTTTACTGCAATGTGAATAACCTGTATTTAGCTTTAAAATGTATGTAAGGTTTGTACATAGGCTTACATGAATTAACTTATTTTATGAAATCTTCTGATAAAATGATTTGAAGAAGTCACCTCTTAAGATTTTAAAAATTATTGTTTTACATTATTGCTCAAAAAATGCATGGGTTTTTTGTTTGGCTTTTGTAATATAGTAAGGACATTGGTCCCACAGCCCCATGAGGTCAACAAAAAAGTGAATGGTCAAGAGTGAAAGCCAATGGGTTTGAGTGGAAAGGATGCTGCAGCTGATACAGCAAGTGTTTGGTCTCCACTGAGCGCTTATGATCTAGGCATCTAATAAAAAGGTCTTTGTATGTTCTTCTATGTGCAATTCCTCTGACGACAAACATTCCACAATGTTTTGCCGAACTTCTCTTTAGATTCTTTTGCCTCTCCTTCGTACACTGTCCTTTAAATACAATTTATTGGGCAATAGACTCAAAGCCTTAGTGCAAATAAAAATGCATTCTCTTCTGTTCATTTATTCTTTCTTTTTATCATAGTCTTTCAGCAGATGCAGAGGCTCTGTTCAAAAAATACCCTGGTCCCCCCCCCCCCCCCCCCCAAAGAAACCATTAAAGTACGCAGGAAGAAAAAAGCATATGACAAAATTCTAAAATATGACCATAAGCTATGAAGAGTATCTGAACTGCTAAGTAAACAGTCAAAAATTCACGAGGAAACATTTCAAAGCTTGAATGAGGTGTAAGCATAGGGAGTAGAGAAATAAATATTGTTAAATATAGAAGTACTGATGTCTTGGCACGACACCTAAAAGTGTGAAAAAATTACTCCAAGAAGCCTAAGGATACCTGTCTGTTCCTGACATTTGCATAGCAACAAGCCACCAAAGTTTGCGGTTGAGTAGCACAGAGTGCTGTCTTATCAGAAGGGAGGTAAAGCACCCTTGTTTGGGACACTTAGCAAATATCAAAAGATACTAAAAAGCTTTTATTAAATCTCGCCAGCCAAAAAAGGGATGTCTATACCCAAGAAATTCCATGAACAAACAAGGGCCACAATCATACTGAAAAGCCACCAAAGCAATTCCGCATCAGTACTATTCTTAGTACGCAACATCTCCAATATGTAGAGTGTAACCTATTTATAAAGGCCACTTAGTCTGACAGTTATCTCACTGTTCACAGGGATGAAGTAAACAGAAAATATAAGAGAATTTACGTGCTCATACATTGTCTACAGGGCATGTCCTTTACTAATGTAAGAAAAATTGATTACTTCAAGCAGCATAATGACATCAACCTGCCAAAGCATGTGTTCCAATTTATAATATACAGTCCCATTTTTTGTTAATTTAATATTGTCAGTTGGTAAAAAAAAAGGCAATTTATCTGTTTCATCCTCTCCTAGTTCTGTTATTTTGAAACGACAATTTTAGAACTCATGGCAAAAATTAAAATACGACAAAATGAAACACAATGTATGCACTTACTGGAGTTATTTTTCCTGGAGATGACTGGTATCAAACAGAAGAAAACTGACTGAAAATGAGTCCTTCAACTTTTGCATCTCCCAGTAATGAGTTCATCCTGTGAGACTGTACTTGGGGAGAACTGTGGAATGTCCACTGGCACTTGAGGAAATGGGAGAAGGAACCCCTTCTTCTGTCTTGTCCCTCAAGCAAATCCATTTCCACATCAGCAAATACAGAAAGACATGTGCAGACATACTTGTGACCTCACTTCTCTTTTGCATTTTAGATCCCTCTCTTTTGCATTTTTTTTTCAAAGTCCAGATAAACATCTTTAATTCTGCAGCAGGTCTAAAGTTGTACCTTTTCTTATCTCATAAACAAAAGTATCTTGAGACTTTTCCCCTAGATCAGGCTTCAGCATGACACCTCAGATTCTCATTCAGTTAGTGGAAGTGCCAAAACATGCTAGAGATTTGTAATGGCAGAAGCTCTTTACGAAGTCCTTTATTACTGCTTTAGTGACACTCATTAGAGTGTTAAACATCAAACAGCGCAGTCAATCATGGTACCAACTGTGATGAAGCCACCATTATACTAATACCATGTGGCATCCATATGGATAGCACATACGATTCATACTTGCCAGGGCAGTAGTTTATTTTGACCAGCACAAATTCAGGCTTTTATTGGCAGAACTGAGAACCAAGTGTGGAAAAAAGTCTTTTAAAACTAGTAATTCAACATAATTATCTGGAACATTGTCATAATCTGTGTAAATTGTTATCACTAAATAAAGACTAACTTTCTTCACTTTAAAGATGGTGCTATGATTTCTCTAGTAAGTCAGATTGAGAAGCCATCACAAAGAAATTGTTCTCTCCCTTGGCAGACTATCCAGTCCACATCAGGACATTAATGGCTTACTGGAAGGCAGAAATAGGCTTTGGCCTACAATGTTGTTGCATGTTATAGTACATAACCGTTTTTAATATAAAATATTGCATTCTCATTTCCTAAGAAATTAGCTTCCAGGCACTTAGATACTATGTCTGAAAAAAACCCCATCATCATACTGAAGGTTATATACACAACACAGGTATATATTACAGGAAAATGACTTTCATTAAACAAGTATTATAGTGTGTTAAGCAACATTAAGGCTCTCATGCTGGAGTGAATGATCTCAGAAGACCCTTCCTATAAAAAAGACTTGGAATAATAAAAACAAACATAAAACAACTACCCTCAAACAAAAACTGACTTACAACAATGTATGCTGACAATTCCATTAACCCTTTCCTCTTCTGAGCTTTACTGGG